CAGTTTTTAGTTCATTAACAATGATCTAGAGGTGACTCCAAAATTAAATAGTGAGTCCCCTAACTAGTCCCCTACTATGAACAGATGACTGTCCTTTTTTCTATCAGTAAGGTGCTGATGCCTTAGGAGGCTCTGTCTCTTCCTAGTCATCATTCCTCAGGCCTCCACATCCCAGCTACAATAGGGATCAGTCACTACAGGAAGACCAGTCTACTCTTAGATGCCTTAAAACCCTGATCCTTAGCATGTGTACACACATAGACACACACACACACACACACACACACACACACACACGCACACACGCATACAGTACGGTCGTATCCCTGCTTGGAATCTCTATGTGACAGGACAAATCCATTTTGCAGTGGAACGTACGGGGTGAGAGGCAGACTTCCCATCCAGGACCAGACAGACCCAAGATATAAAAGGAAGATTCCTCAGACTACCAGGTAGGGAAGAACAATGTTTAAGAATATGTTTTTGATACTTAACTCGAATTTGAATTCAGAATACAGCACTTTGTGAAGTATCTAACTTACAGGCTCCCGTATGCACTTGGGAGCTAAGCTTTGGAAATAACCATTCTTTTTAACATCGTTTGTATTGGCACACTTTTTGCTTTCAAAACAATCTATAAATTTTTGGAATGCTACTCATTTGTAATTTAATGACCAATTTTAATATCCTACTGGGTACATACTGAGAGTGAATACCTTTTGATTAGTGGGAGCATAGAGGCAGTATCTAGAACAGTGGTGAAGAGTTCCTACTATGCACAGTAGTGTTTAGATTCATTTCTAAATTTAATTTCCTACTAAAAGCCGGCAGTGCTCCAAAGAGGATGAGTGATTCAGATCTGGGGCAGGAAATGTAGAATGGTGAAATACATATCATACCAGGAAGTGAAGACACTATCAAAGATTATAAGGGCTGTGCCAAAAGAACAAAGCAGTCAACCAACAGGGCTCTCACTGGCCTAGGATGTGAAGATCTGATCATCTTCCCACCTCCCCCCACTAAAAAAAAAAAATATTGCAATGAATCAAACCATGAAACATAACTGTAAATCATAAATTCACAATGATACAGCTAGTGCTCGACTTACGACCACAGTCAGGACCGCGGACCGGTCGTAACATGATTTGGTCATAAGTTGAAATGGTGCACGTGGAGATGGTAGTGCTGCCGGAAGCTGGTCTGCACTGTCGTACGCCCAGGTGGGCAACGTTTGCGCTGCCAGACGCGGAGCAGTCGTGGCTAGCGATTGTGGTCGTAAAGTCGAATGGTTGTAAGTTGCATAGGTCGTAAGTCGATCAATACCTGTACTGAGAAGGGAGACCTAGGCATTTGGGATTCCCTCCCCCTCTGTCATCCACTGTGCATCTCAATAAAAGAGAGAGCAGGCCAGCTGGCGCCTCCTGAATCTCCTTCCTGAAAACAACAGGCTAGGCCTTGGGGAAACTCTCCAGAAGGCACTATTTTTACTTAAAACAAGATCAAACCAGAAACCTTTTCACATGTGAGTCCTAAAACTGTAAACCGGAACCCTTTCATATGTGATTCCTGAAACTGTAAACAGAGGCCTTTTCACATGTGAGTCCTGAAACTATGAACCTAAGATTCTTCCACGTGTAACATTTAAAGTATAAGCCTATATAAAGGCTGAACCTCCCTTTGTTAGAGGAGCTTGGCTGTTAGGCACCTATGCCACCTGGCTCCCAGCTGAAATAAATTCCTTCCTCCTGTATTTGGTGTCCGAGAGATCCTTTCCTGCCACCGCTCCTGCTACAATACCAAAAACGAAAACTGGGTAAGATGCCAGGGAACCATCTCAGCATTTCAAAAATTTGCCTTTTATTTTGTCTTTTATATGTATTAAAGGTATTTCAGGGTAAACAAATACCTGAGGATAAGATTCCTTTCATTATAAAATTCTAGGTAATAAATGAAGGATACAATGAGAATATTTCATTTTGCAACCCACAATGAAATAAAGCACTTAGGCAATGATCCTCAATGCCTACTGAAACCACTAGGCTGATGACAAATTTTATAAACTGGTGGGTCTGGCTGGCAACACTTGAACCTGCAGGTCCATCTTAACACCAGAGACAACTGGCCTTTACATGACTCCTGATGGATGCGACACGAAAGAATCGAAGAAGCATCCCTCATGATTTTTTTCTTGATTAAAAAAACCATCAAGTATGTATCTGATCAAGTCTCTAGATCCTACCTACCAGTTTATGGGAAATTCGAGACAGAGGACGATGTTAAAAGGCATTAAGGGGATGCATTCAGAGAAATCCAAATTGTGAGAAGTTCTACAGGTGGAATGATCATATTAAAGTCAAGGAAAAGAAGAAAAGGGGAGGAGAAACTGTTAACAAATTAAGAGACTCAAGACATCAACGGAGTACACTGTGTGGCACTTGTTTGGATCCTGACTGGAACAAACTGAGACATATATGAGAGAAGTGAGGGGATGTGAACTGAGGAGGAATTTGAAATCACAGAATAAACTCAAATCATCTGTGACCACTTTATTGTGGTATTTTTAAAAGAGAGACCTTATCTGTTAGAAATAAATGCTGAGGATTTAAAGATAAAATGTCTTCAAGTTGTTTTAAAATAATTCAGAAAGGAGCTGAGACTGTGATAAATAAGGAGAGTGGATACAGATGAAGACAAGATGAGGTTTTGAAAAATTATTTTTTAAATGATTTCTTGTTCTGGCCTTTAAAAAATCTAAGTTCTACTAATTGTGTGACATTTGAGTACATGAAACTCATTTCTTCAATCTGTTTCCTTCCCAGTAAAATAACGCTAATGATAACATATGTCATAGCGTTGTTTTAAAGATCTAATGAGATAATTCCTATTAAACCAAGTGCAACACTCAACGTACAGTAAGTACTGCACTCAATAAATGGTAGCTCTTATCACTTGAAGCTAGTGGGAACAAATGCCATCAGTACAATCTCATAAAATCTGTGCAGAAGATCCAAAGTAAGACAGCTTCGATCTAAGAATGTGTGAAACCACCACTTCCCACCCGGCACCCCGCCAAAACAAACAACAAACAAACAAACAAACAAACCCGGTTTGCTCAAAAACTTCAAAAAACAAAAAAAGCCCAAACTCTGAAATCTCCACTTGTCAGGGCAAGATAGGACTCCTCTCTCACCCAGATACTATCAACAAAGAAGTAACGATGCACTGCATTTTATCTGAACTGTAAATTCACACATCCTCTGAAAAGATGGCAGAGTGGCCGTCCTGGCAGTGCTGTCTAGGTAGCTAATCTGAATGTCAAGGAAGCTGAAATCCTCTCCACTTTTACAAACTAGATGGCAGGCTCATTCCAAAATATGTGGGAGAGAGTTCACTTGGCCAATTTTCTGCCACTTAACAATCAGCAAGGGCTTACAATGTTTTTGTTTCGAGAGCAATGGCAAAGAAAATCGAGTTTGAATTCTATGTGCCTTGTTTAGGGACAGTATATTGAGGGTCCTTAATTCTGGAACACAATGCTTCCCCCAATCCACCGCCGACATGGTAATATCAGGAGGCCTGAGGCCTGTCTCTCTCGCTCACCCGTGGGTCTCATCGATCCACGGATTTATTCCCATTCTGTAAAGGATGGCTGTCGTCAGGGCACCGTCACCCCTATTTGCTTAGCCCCATCAGCAAAGGGGGCAGGGTAGCGAGCACACCCCTTCTGGAGACTCCAGACCTCCCCGGGTGGGGCAGAACTGCAGCGGCTGCAGGTCCCGGAGGGAGTCTGGGAGAGGTCGAGGCCGATAGAGCGGGCGGGCAGGGGGCGCGGGCGCCAGGGGCGAGGGAAGCGGCAACGATGCCAGGCTGCGTGGGTGCACCCCCGTGTGAAAAATCTTACAAGTCTCTGAGCACACAAGGAGATAAGGTTCTAAGGGAAAATTAAAGAATCGAAAATTAATTTTCTTTAATTAAAAATTAAAGAAAATTAAAGAACCCGGCCCGAGCCTGTCCCCAACCTCTGTTCTCACCAGTACGAGGGCTGCGGCCACAAGCGCCGCACCGAGCACCGCCAGCTGCAGCAGAAGCAGAGCCATCCTCCATGCCGGGGCCGCTGGCCCTATCCGGCACCTACACACACACGGAAGTGCGACCCAGGGCCCCGCAGCCAGAGAGGCCTCGCCCGCCGCCCGCAGCACCCCCGCGTGGCGAGGCGGAGAACCTGCCGCTCTCGAGCGCTCGGCGCCCCGGCGGTGGAGAGACGCGCTAAGGTTCCTTAGCACCGCGCCAGGTTTAGCAAGTATGCAAGATGTCTACTTAATTTGAATTTCAGATTAAAAAAAAAAACAAAAACTAATCTTTTTTTTAACAGCTTTATTAAGATATTTACATACTACACAACTCATCCAGTTAAAGGCTTCAGGTCTATTACATTAGTTTTTATAAATTTTGGTAAAATAAAACAAAACTTACCATTTTAATCATTTTAACTTTACAATAGTGAGTGGCATTAAAAACATTCACAATGCGGGGCAACCATCACCATCTATCTGTAAAGCCTTCCTAGCTCCCTCCAGGTTCTGGTAATAACTAATTGCATGTCCTATTTGGGGCATCCTCATGCTTAAAAAAAAAAAAAAAATGCTGTTTATCAGACATTCAAATTTAACTTGGTATCCTGTATTTTATCTGGTAACCTCACGTCGGAGAGAGATGGCAGCCTTAAGCACGACACAGTCTACAACACAAGCTGATGCTTAGGAGCCAGTTCCAGGACCTGCGGAGCAGAACGTGGTGCGGATAATGAGCGCATAAAAGTTCAGATCTCTCAACGTGCTGGAGCAGAGAGCCCTTGACCAGGGAAGAGGCAAGGTCAGGGCTCAGCCTGAGTCACAGGCGGAAAAAAGACGCAGAAACATTGGAATAACGCGCTACACGCAATGCTTGATTCTTCGCTGGAAACCCTGTTTTCTCCGAAATATTGGCCTTATTCTGAGTGACAGCACCAGCTTTTTTATAGGACACCTTCTCCTTCTCTAACAGCAGATTCGTCAAAATACGTCCAAGCAAGGAAACCTAGAAGGGCGTCTGGCCAGGATAAAGTCTAAGCCAAGGCGGGCCTCTCGTCGCGTCCCCGCCTTGGAGTTTCCTGTGGCGTGAGCGGCCCGGGCATCCGTGTCGAAAGTGCGGTGGCGGAACAGGCGCGTAGGCGAAGAGCGGCGCAGGCGCAGACGCGCGGGCGGGAAGATGGCGGCTGGGTTCAAGTGAGTGTTGGCGGCTGGAGGGTCGAGTTCTATACCCTGGCAGACGACGGCTTCCTTTAACTCTTAGCTGAGATTCTCTCACCTGGAGGGCGACCCTTTTGGAGTGCTATTTCCTTCCTTGTCGAAGCAGGCGACGGGCGGGAGGACCTGGAGGTGGTCGTAGTGAAAAGAAAGGGCTTCTTTCCCCTAGTGGAACGGGAGATGAAAAGGACTGTAGTTCCATATCCGCTGCGAGCGCTCGTGAGCGTGGTGTGTAGTGAACGTGCAGTCCCAGGACACATAGTTGTAATCTTTTAAAGATTGTGGCCTGGCGTGGTGGCTCACGTCTGTAATCCCAACACTTTGGAAGGCCGAGGCGGGCGGATCAGGCGTTCGAGACCAGCCTGCTCTACATGGTGAATCCCTGTCCCTAATAAAAATATAAAAATTAGCCGGGCGTGGTGGTGGAAGCCTGTAATCCCAGCTACGTGGGAGGCTAAGGCAGGAGAATCGCTTGAACCCGGGAGGCGAAGGTTGCAGTGAGCCGAGATCACGCCACTGCACTCCAGCCTGGGGGACAGTGAGACTCTTGTTTCAAAAAATAAATACAAATACGTAAAGATTGTTGCGTCAGAGCCACATACCGCCTGATTCTCCCTCTCCCGTAATTTATTTCTAAAAGAATCATGCCTCGCTCGGAAGGTTTTTGTGTGTGTAGCCTATGGACTTTCTTAAAGTTTTTTAAAAAATGGATAAAATAGGATTCCAAAGGAAACCCATTATGTTGAAATAGTTATCTATGAATATAAACTCCGAAGTCATGATATAGTAGTATATATACTTGCTTTAAAATTTACCTTCTTAAACAAGATCTAGTGACGAGTCTAGAAGTACCTCGTGGGATTTCAAAGTAACAGCCTAAACATACCGTACCCAAATGAATACATCTGTGGTCTCTGTGTTTGTTAAAGTTGCAGGTACTGCTAATGTTACAATTGTTTATGGCCTCCAGTTATAATTGAAGAATATGCTGTTTCAGTTACAGTGAAAATAAAGATGTACGTTTTTTGTTTCCTGAGTTACCTAGTACGATCTAACTATTCATGTTCACTAGTTTATGAAAATAATCTCTTTTCATGATCACTAGATCACTCTGAATCCTTGTTTCAGAGCAAAAATGACATGATTTTTCTGACACCTAGATTAATCCGCTTTTAAAGAGCTCACTCAAAGGGCTTTTAGACGCCAATCTTTTAATCGATTACAGCAGAGTTAAAATAGCAATTGGATGTGATTGCTACTGCAAGGGTTTTTACTTTCTAGAATTACTTTTAGTTAAAAATTGTGGCAATTTCTGCTGTGTCACCACATTCTAAAGAGCTTTGCCCATTTCTGGATTTATGTTAAGATTCATCATTTATCTCAGATATATTTTTTTTAACATGTGTTTCAGAACTGTGGAACCTCTGGAGTATTACAGGAGATTTCTGGTGAGTAAAGTTTATGTACATGTTGTGCCTTTTGATAACAATGGGCTTCTTTTAAAGATAAATTTCAAGTAATTTAAATAAATCCATTTAATGTGTTTCCCTGATGGGTGTAAAACTTGTGATAGATATGTAAAGTATGTAACAGGTAGAATCTTTTTATATAAACATTATATTTATTTAGAAAGAGAACTGCCGTCCTGATGGAAGAGAACTTGGTGAATTCAGAACCACAACTGTCAACATAGGTAAGGATGTATTTTCCACTTTCAACTGTATGATAATCCCAAGTTTTAGTCTCTGAACCACCTCAACAGTTTTTCAGCCAAATTCTTCCTGTCTAAATGATTTGATTTTTTTGTCAAGAGATTTTTTATCCGTACAAAAGCCCTGTAACTGAATGAAAAATGATTAACACAAATTCAAGGACAGGTGAATAATTATTTAAACACGAATTTTAAAGTTTCATATCATTTAAAATCAATTATTCCAACTTGAAATACATTTTCATAAGCAACTGACAGGTGTAGCAAGATAATCATACACAGCAAACTAACACACTTAATGATTATGTAGATAATTTTGTAGCCGTTTTCCTTTTATGGACTTTTCATTTTGCTTATCTTTTCAGGTTCAATTAGTACTGCAGACGGTTCTGCTTTAGTGAAGTTGGGAAACACTACAGTAATCTGTGGAGTTAAAGCGGTGGGTACAAATATATCCTATTGAGATTTGAATTACTAAATTAGCCTCCTCTATTTATTAGATTATAATTTACACCTAAAATTCTGTTGATTTGGCAGTTGGGTGTCAGTTTTTAATTTCCCAAGAGCTTTCACTATGAGTGTTAGATAATATGACCCAAGCTTAATGACTAATTGAACATTTGTCAAATGTACCAAAATGAAATAACTTTTAAAATCTTAATCACTCTTAAAAAATTTGGTTATATAATTTGAGAAATTAACAGAGATTTTTGGTGACATCCTTTTAGCCGATGACATTTAATCTGTGTAAATGTGTAGAAAATTAAAATTGTTGAAAAATTTGAGAGAATAATGGCTACTGTTTACTGAGTACCTGTTATGTTCCAGATACCTTTTTAGGTGCTTAGGTGCTTTACGGAATTATCCACTTTAATCCTTACAACAATGATTTGTTCTTTCTCTCCACCTACTGTTTTATAAATGAGGTTCAGTAACCTGTCCAGGTACATAAGACGCATAAGTAAAACTTAAAACATAAATCTGAATCCAAAGCCTGTGCTTCTTTGACTACACTACACCCTGTGTTACTTAACCTCAGTTGAGATTCTTCCATGATAAACCTAGAGTGATACATAACAGTAAGATTTGAGAACTCCCTCCTTGCCAGGTTTTATGCCTGGGATTTAACAGCTTTATCTCATTTGGCCCTTATTAGTAGTCCCTAGGAGTAGTAGACACTATTCTTCCCATTTGACAGATGAGGAGTTTAAGGTTAGAGGTTAAGTAACTTGCCTAAAGTCTCAGCCAGTAAGTGTGGCTCTGAAATTTGAACTGGCTTAGTGATTACAGAGCTTTTGCTTTTTTTTTTTTTCCCCCTTGAGATGGAGTCTGGCCCTGTCACCCAGGCTGGAGTACAATGGCATGATCTTGGCTCACTGCAACCTCTGCCTCCCGGGTTCAAGTGGTTCTCCTGCATCAGCTTCCCAAGTAGCTGGGATTATAGCCGCCTGCCACTGCGCCTGGCTATTTTTGGTATTTTTAGTAGAGAGATGGCCATGTTGTTTGCCATGTTGGCCAGGCTGGTCTCAAAACTCCTGACCTCAGGTGATCTGCCTACCTCGCCTCCCAAAGTGCTAGGATAACAGGTGTGAGCCACCATGCCTGGCTGAGCTTTTGCTCTTTACCACTAAAGCAGCAGTTCCTAAATGTGGTTGTATCATCTGGGGAATAAATAGAGATTCTTGGCTACTGGGTGGGGGCACAAACCCAATTAGTATTTTTTAAAAGATCTCCAGGTAATCTTGAGCAGCACTGTAATGAAGTCTATTGTACTATAGTACCTTGTTATCTTGTAGAGCTATTGTGAGGATCAGCAGCACCAATACTGAATTGTCTTCATAATTTTTTAGTAGCTTCTTTCAATAAGAAACATTTCTTTGCTACTATAGGAATTTGCAGCACCACCAACAGATGCCCCTGATAAAGGATATGTTGGTAAGTTAAATGATTTTGTAATTTTAATACAAATACTTTTAACACATTTTGATAATTTTAGTTAAGTCCTACTAGTTGAGTTGATGTAAAGAAAATTATTCCTAATATTCAGAAATATTTAGGAATAAAACACATTCCTCAAAAGTTTTCCATGTATGTGTTAGTAAAAGATAGCATAATAGCAGGATATAGAATTTCATACATTTGACCTTTATCAAACTTGGTTTCTCAATTCTTGTTTATACATTCATATATCACGAAGTAAGAAAATAGAATTTTGGCTGGGTATGGTGACTCATACCTGTAATCCCAGCACTTTGGGAGACAGGGCGGCAGGATCGCTTTAGCCCAGGAGTTTGACCAGCCTGGGCAACAAAGGAGACCCCCGTCTCTACAAAAAAATAAAGTTAGCTGGATGTGCCAGTGCACACCTCTGTCCCAGCTACTTGGGAAGCTGCAGCAGAAGATTGCTTGAGCCTGGGCTATCGAGGCTACAGTGAACTGTGATCATGTCATTGTATTCCAGCCTGAGTGACAGAGTGAGACCCTGTCTCAAAAGAAAAAAAAAATAGAATGGAATTTTTTTTTTAGTCAGAGAACTGTCACTGCACACTTTGTTTCCATAAAGATTCTTTATACAACTGCTATTTTTTTCTTGTCTTGGAACCATCTGTTCTTTATGATAGAAACCAACATTTTTTAAATAAGAAAAACAGAGGAGCTATCTTCAGTTACAGATTGAGGTGTTTTGAAAGATACCAGGAAAACTTTTGTGAAGGATTTAGGAGAATTAAGGCCTAAAATAGATTTTTTAAAAATGCATATGGGGGAAAAAGAAAAATATAAATTTCATTTTATCTAAGTCTAGGAGTCTTACAGAGAACAAACAGAATATAACTCTAATGTTCCAATGCATTCTACTCAGAAAAGCCTATCCATGGCCATGGTTGCCTTTGCTGTGGATAATACCTTTAACCCATGAGTAATCCAGAAGTTAAAAAGTTTAGTTCATAGCTGCAGAGTGTTTCTTTCAGTTCCTAATGTGGATCTACCACCCCTGTGTTCATCGAGATTCCGGTCTGGACCTCCTGGAGAAGAAGCCCAAGTGGCTAGCCAGTTCATTGCAGATGTCATTGAAAAGTAAGAGCACCATATATATAAAATCTTACTATATTTCATTTTCAGATAGTTTTTGACTTTTCACTTACTTTGCTCTTTGTCATTAAATCAAGTTCACAGATAATTCAGAAAGAGGACTTATGCATTTCTCCAGGAAAGGTAAGAGGAATAGAGAAGCTTTTAAGTTCTTACTAATTCTGAAGGGATTTTTTGAGGGGGAAAGTGAAGAAAATTAAAGCAACCAATCAAAGTAGCCTTAAATATGACTGTCTACAGATTTTAGAGATTCAGTAATTTCTTACTCTATAATTCTCTAAATGAACCATATTGTTTATAAAAAAACAAGTTTGACTAACTTATTGCATCTGGGAGCTACCTTTTTAATTGAAGTAATTTTTTTCCCCCTTAACTTTTAGAGAAAAGTTCATTTTTTATTCTTTGTAGCAGATTAATTGCTAATCATGTTAATGTATGTTTATGGTGAAACCATACAGTAGATTCCAAAAGTCTTATTTGAAAATGTAAAACTAGGTTGATTAGAAACTAGAGAGGCTTTCCTACCAGATCACATAAACTGATACGTTAGCACTGTAAAACCTAAACATTTCATGCATTATGAGAAGGTGCCTTTTGAATTTTAGCCAGGGCTTTCAAAACCATCTCTCTCAACTATAACCTCTCAATAAGAGTGGAAGTTCTTCTATATCTGTAGCTCCATTAAAGGAAATGGACAAGTTTGCCATTTGTCAGCTTGGTAATCAAAAGCCAGCTTTTACCAAAACTTGTCTACTTCCTTTTGATTTTCTACTTTACAAAGGTAAAGCATTTAAGGTTTCCGAGCCATAAAGATTATCTTGCTTGTTTAACCAAGGGTTCTGTGGTTCTTATGTCTAAGCAAATAGTATGTTCTTCCCATTAGAAGGCTTTAATTTTCTTTTGTCTTAATTCTGTTTTAGCTTGCCTGGGTTCTATACTGTGATCTCATTTGCCTTGACTATGATGGAAACATTTTGGATGCTTGCACATTTGCTTTGTTAGCAGCTTTAAAAAATGGTAAGCAGCCTTTTTAAAAAGGCAGTATTTCCACAAATGGTTTAGAATGTTGTTTTGTGAAACTTTTCATGTACATTTACTTTCATATGTTTCCAAATTAATGAATGTAATACTGACATGACTTTCCAAATATAGTTGATTGTTGTAAATTCTCTAACTGAATGCTGTTTAAGATGGCTGCTTTGACTGTACCCATCTACTTAGGTTAGGACTTCGTTCCTTTCCAAAATATTGGTTGGGGAGGTAGTTAAGAGTTTAACTTCTGGCTAGGTGATTGGTGAAGATCTGCCAGTATCTTCATAGTTCTTTATGTGATACTACCAAAAGAAGTAGAATGGATTCTGTTGTTTTTACTGTGAGGCCACAGTAATAGTGAAGTTTCTTAACAAGGAGTCTAGGTTGACCCTATAGAGTTCAATGACTTGTGCATATTCCCTATCATTGCACTGCTGAATTGGTAAGAACAAATAATTGGAGAAGGAAAATAAAGTTAGCACAGTAATATTATTATAGAGTGGTTAAAGCAGAGACTTAGGTTTGAATCCTGGCTTTACCACTCTGTGCTGAAGTTTCCTTATCTATAATAAAATAGGGATAATAGTACTTCTTTATAAGAGTATTGATTAGATGAATACAATGAAAATGTGAAAATGCTTAAAACAGGACCTAGCAGATATAGATTAGCTAGACATGTTATCTATTAGCAATCATTTTTATTTCAAAAATGGGTGCAGTGGCACATGCCTATAGGCCTAGCTACTGGGGAGGTTGAGGCAGGAATTGAATTTTCTTTTGTCTTAATTCTGTTTTAGCTTGCCTGGGTTCTATACTGTGATCTCATTTGCCTTGACTATGATGGAAACAAGGAATTCAATCCTGGTCTGGGCAACATAGCAATACCCTCTCTAAAAATTAAAAAAGCAAATCATTTTGACTTCTTAAACTTAAAAAAAAATTATGCAATAAGCACTAGGTAGGAATGTCAGATGCTGTGAAATGCAATGTATATCCTCTGTATTTACCTTAGTCGTTGTAAGGTACTTTTTAAAAAGGAATGTTCTGGGCAAGTTAAATAGAGGCATAGGTGAATTTAAAAAAAAAAAAAAAAAAGCTTAGAAACCATTTGTCCATTAGAATTATTTTACAAATTTGCCTTTTCTTAGTACAGTTGCCTGAAGTTACTATAAATGAAGAAACTGCTTTAGCAGAAGTTAATTTAAAGAAGAAAAGTTATTTGAATATTAGAACTCATCCAGTTGCAACTTCCTTTGCTGTGTTTGATGAGTAAGTTAATCAAACTTACTTTAAAATTTTCTATATTTAAGATTAGGGTAATTGATGTTCAGCCTTCTAACTCTTCAGAAATGCTTATGGTGACCCCACATCCTAGTTTTCCATTAACACTTCAATTTATACTTCTCCCTGCACAATTTTTTCTAGTCAACCTATATGCTTTCATAAGCATCCTGAATTGGATGATCAGTTGTGTTCCTTTTACCTGTTCCTTACCTGTGTAATGTTAATTTTTCAATTCTTTCACTAAAGATTTACCTGAAGTTATCTTCAGTATTTTTCAAGGATTTTAGCATGTTCAGAAATACAAAAGCAGGGCTAGGCATGGTGGCTCACACCTGTAATCCCAGCACTTTGGGAGGCCGAGGACAGAGATCACTTGAGGTCAGGAATTGGAGACCAGCCTGGCCAACATGGTGAAACTCTGTCTCTACTAAAAATACAAAAATTAGCCGGGTGTGATGGTGTGTGCCTGTAATTTCAGCTACTTGGGAGGCTGATAGTGTGTTTAGTATTTTTAAAGTAAAATTTGTTCCATGGATAGATAAACTTACACTTTTTTCTTTTTATAGCACTTTGCTTATAGTTGACCCTACTGGAGAGGAGGAACATCTGGCAACAGGAACCTTAACAATAGTAATGGATGAGGAAGGCAAGCTCTGTTGTCTTCACAAACCAGGCATGTTCTTGCCACTTCAGTCCTAAACATATGTAGATGAAAACTCGGTCTTAGCTTTAAATTAGGGAGGGCCAAATGGAATATGGGATATTTTATTTACCTAATTTAAGTTTACTGTTGTTTCTTAGCTACCTCAAATTTTCTTACACCTTTATGGTGTATGTCAGTGGTTCTTAAACTTAAGACATACATTAGAATCACTTGGAGGTCTTGTTAAACTAACTTGCAGATCTTGAGACTGTACCCCAATTTACATTATCCAATTTTTTGTTTTATAATTTGACATGACATTAGTGTAAGTATTGGAAAAATAATTTTTCAGGTGGAAGCGGGCTAACTGGAGCTAAACTTCAGGACTGTATGAGCCGAGCAGTTACAAGACACAAAGAAGTTAAAAAATTGATGGATGAAGTAATTAAGAGTATCAAACCCAAATAAATGTCCACCACATTTTCAAAACAGATTTGTAAAAACTGTATTTGTTAACACTGTGCACAAATGTTTTGTACTAAATAAATCTCAAACTACATTCTCCTGGAAGATATTTCTAGTATTTCTTAGATCACTTCCATATATATTATGTATAGTGAAACCATTTTTAAAAAGGAATGACTTAGGCAAACCAACCCTAGTTTGTTAAACCATTTCCCTGTTTTTATTTAAAAATGATAAGGTTGTGCTTCTGTATAAAGTTTGTACATCTAGCAATGTAAAATACTGACACATTTAAAAAAAAAAACAAAAAGGAAGTAGAAACTCAATCCTTTTGATTCAATGCTCTTGTGTTTTTAAAAAAGGAAAAAAAAATAATGCAAGACTCAGAATTTTGGAGTGGTTGGCGTGCCTCTCTTCATTTTACTTTTTGACTGGCTGCCTGTATGCCGATGACGATGTAGCTGAGCTGTTTGTGCTGCTGCTGCTGCCATAGCCATTTGATGCTGCAAGAATCGCAACTGCTGCAAAAGGGAGGGAAAAAATCAAGTTATGTTAAATGCAGGCAGGTGTGGAAAGGTTCTTTTCCTGAGAGTGATGAAAACAACAAAACTGAAAAAGGGAGAAAGCACCAAGATAACAAAAGGGACTATACCACATTGAGACAATGCACAGTCAAACAGCACCAGTGGCACAGAAGCCTGCTGAGGGCTTTAAAAATGATTCTTGGCAAACTTCCAAATTGTTACTTTGCCCTGCCAGTCAATATTGTAGTAACTCAGCAACTTCAGTTACCATTTTGTTGTATAATGTTAGTTTATAGCAACATAAAACAACCCTGAATATATCAAGATAGTCAACTATAACATGCTGACTTTCCTTCCTAAAATTATGGTATAACATTTTTCTAAATAAACAGGTATGACATTTACTAACAGGAACACTTTTCTGCAGTAAAATATTAGAAAGTTAACAATTGGCACTTAAAACTGTCTATTTCAAAATATACTGCATTCTAGAAAAATGTATGTTAATGTGCCACCAGCACTTCATGAAAAATTTTAAATCAGAAAGTATGGCTTAAATGTACAAAATATATTCAGTGCTCCAAGTTGACTGGCTAAAATGTCAGACTTTAAAATTTGCTAAATTATTTACAAATTACTGTATAGTCTTAAAAGACAGTCAAAACTAAAGCAAGTTATTTTGAGGTACTTTTGGAGCTGAGTATCTTTAAAAATGTAATCAGAGTGAAGTTGCTGGATTACTTGTATCTGTTGCTGCTGTTGAAAGGCAGAGGAGAGCTGGAATCTCTGCTGAGGAAGGCTTTGCTCAGGTCTGTTCTCGGCAGAGCCAAGCTGAGACAACACTACAGAGAGGAGAAGGGGAAAGCAGGGCAGTCAAAAAGTTTGAAGGCTACCGGGGTTAGAAAAGGACAACATAGAAAATGAAATAATAGAAAAGTTAGCAGTAAGATTAATCTTAAGTATCAAATCATAGACATTTCAGAATAAATTTAGTATATAGTCTCCTGTTAGTTGGGGCTACCACTGATTATGGAACTTACTGGACACAAGAGAAGGGAGTGCATTATGTGTCAAAACACTGAACCTCTCCTCTTGCATCTGTATGGAATTTGATACTGGTGCTATTTTGTTTAGAAGAGTACATTATTTTTTAAATATAACCAACAAAGTAGGAAAAGGGAGATGGAAGAAATCTAAACTATTGTAACAGCAAAACTGGTAGACAGACAATTGCTTTAAACAAAAGATGCTGCAATGAATATCAGACTATTAACAACAAAGGTGGTGAACTGAGACTGAGCATTGTTATTTTTCAGCTGAGTGGGACAACAGTAATCAGTTCAACACTCATTTTACGTATGAGGAAGTTTAAGGCCAACATGGTTTAAGTGGCAAGTCTGTGGCTAGGAACATTCTCATGATTTTTCAAACTAGAGTCCTTTCTACTGAATTACATTACAGCTCTTTTCGGAAATTCACAACTGGTCTGATAATGGTACATATTTACGTAAACTTAACATTTGGGAATTCATTACCTCTAAATTGAAACTATGTAAGGATTACTTACTGCCAAAATAAAGATCTTGATTATTCTAAAGGACTTCTAAAGGCATCATAGTAAGCCCACAGTGATAACTTAAGATGCTGATAACATAGTCACTCATTCAATCATCAAACTCTATCATAGTTTTCTTATACGTGTGGCTTACTGTTAAGTATGAAGTTAGAATTATCATCTTCAGCTAACAAGATAATATTCATTAAGACTAAATCTTTAGTTCACCATTTACTGCTGGATGTGTTGAGAAGTAATTTAATCGTTTTTTTTTTTAAATGATAAAAGAGGCTTACAGAAGTTATGCTACTGACCATTAAGACTTAAGTCATTTATGCAACTACAAGTTACGAGAATGAGACAAAATATTATGCAATGTAGAAAAATTCAGTCTTAACCCAGGAAAACTGAAAAGTTATTAATTAAGATAACTACTGGCAAACACTGAAAACAGCTCTAGTAACTTCCTAGTAAATTGGATAATTATTAAATTTTGCCGGTAAACTGTAACATAAGGAAAATACAACTGTGGTAATTACGTTAAGTCAAAGCTCTTTTAATTAATCCACTATCAAATTAATGAAAAAATCTCAGCCATTAATTTAATAGTTCACACATTAAATATAGCTTTACTTTTTCCTGTTTACTGTTTGCAAGGGAAGGAAAAGAAAGTAATTTAAGTGGTGAGATCCCAAATAGATTAGATATGTTTACTAAATTCAGCATATAAAGTTATGAAGATACCTACCAGCTGCCTGTGACTGCATAAAACTTCCTACTCCAGTAAGGTTAATGACAGCAGCTTGCTGAGCAGATAAGGCCTGTTCTTGACTGGTTGAACCTTGTTCAGAACCCTGAATAAACAAATTAATAAATGACTTGAACAAGAAGGAAAAACAAATTTAAGCTGGTAAGTAAGTATTTTTCCTGTATGAAAGAAAGCATCAGTATTTAGACTAGTCTTGTAAAAAGAATAACAAGGAAAAAAGACTTCAAAGGTATTTAGAATAAGCAAGAATACATTTATAGTATTTGAACAAAGAAAGCTTTATTTTTCAGTGCATCTGTATTTATTGATTGTTTGATACTACCTTCATAATGCCTATGGCTTTTATAAAGCTTCATGGAAACAGTTTTTTAAAGCTTAAAACACCCTTTGTAACATAACCATAGTACTAAAACTTTTAGTCAGCAGCCTAAGTCAAGAAAAGGAAATAAAAGGCATATAGATTTTATAGGAAAAAGTAAAATTGTCCTTATTTGCAAATGGCACAACTGTCTGTAGAAAATCCTAAGCAATCTACAAAAAAGCTCCTAGAAGTAGTAAGTTAGTTCAGTAAAAGGGCACAATACAAGATCAACATACAAAAGTCAGCACTGTATATATTGGTAATGAACATGTGAAAAGTAAAATACCATTCACAACTTCTCAAAAAAAAAAAAAATTAGATGGCAGTTCTTCCCCAAATTGATCAACAGGTTTAACTCAATTCCTTTAGAAATCGCAGCAAGGTTTTTGTAGATATAGACAAGATGATTCTAAAATTTATATGGAAAGGTAGAAAACCTACATTAGCTACAACAATTTTGAAAAATGGTATGGGAAAAAACCTGCCTAATTTTAAGACTCACTACAGTGAACAAGACAGTGTGGTATTGGCTAAGGAGTAGACATATAGATTAATGAAATAGAACAGGGAACCTAGAAATAGACCCACCCAGATGGACCCAACTGACTTTTAACAAAGGTCCAAAAGTAATTCAGAAAGGATAGCTTGGATATTGATAGACAAAACCAAAAACAACCAACCAACCAACAAAAAAAAGGACCTAAGTTGCACACCTTGTACAAGAATTAACTGAAGAGGGATTATGGATTCAAAATAGGAAACTATAAAACTGTTAGAAAAAAACGTAAGAGAAAATCTTTGGGACCTAGGGCTAAGTAAAGAGTTTTGAGACATGATACCTAGAGCATTTTCCATAAAGGAAAGATACTGTTAACTGAGACTTCAGCGAATTAAAACTTTTGCTCTGCAGAAGACATCCTTTGGTACCACCTAAAATAGTGTCTGAAGTAACATTTCAGTATGTAATGGCAAGCCAAACATTTCAAAAGTTACATTTATCTTGACAGGAACTCCCTGGAGATAGAGATTGGACAAAAGAGCACATAGCTGAAAGGAGGGTATGTTATTGAATTTGGAACCCAGTTCATGAAATGAACAACAGAATAAGGCAGACCACATCACTACCAAAATGGAGCTCTGATAAAACAAAAAAGCTCAAAATGCAAAAAAACTAGCAGTGATATAAATTTCCCCCCAAAACACTCCACAAACCTAAGGTAGACGGTAAGCCACCACCATAAATGGAATATTCAAACAGGAGAAATAACGATTAAACAAACATTTTGAAGAAGAAAAATAAACACTAAGAAATAAAAGAACTAAGGCTAAAACTAAAAGGATGAAAAAAGATGTACAACACTAACATTAATCAGAATAAAGAAACAAGAAATATTACCCTAAGATAAAGGTCATTTGTTAATGATAAGGGTAAATTAATCAAGAATATAACGATCCTAAATGTATAGGCACCTAACAATATGGGCTCAAAAAACAACCTTTAGCAAAAGGAGAAATAGAAATTTCCAGTTTTGTTTGAAGACTTCAAAACTTCTCTCAGTAACTGAAAAAACATGTAGGAAAAAAAGTATATAGAAGACCTGAATAATACCATCAAATACCCTGATCTAATACAGAACACTCCTAACAGCAGAATATGCATTTTTTTTTCAAGCATATGTGGAGAATTCATCAAGACAGATCATGTGCTCAGGCACCAAACAAACCTCAACAAACTTAAAAGGACCAAAAATGTTCTCAGACCACAGTGGATATAAACTAGAAATCAACTACAGAAAGATAATTTGGAAAATTCCCAAGTACTTAGAAATCAAACATTATCTAAATAACTCATTTAAGAGGAATCCGTAAGACAGAAAATTCTATGGAACAAAATGAAGGCACGGCATATCAAAATTTGTGGAAAGTAGCTTAAGCAGTACTGAGAAGGAAATACATGACATTAAATGTTTATTTTAGAAAAGAATGACCTCAACACAATAATCTTAGCTTCCACTTATGACACTACAAATTATCATCAAGAAAACATTCCAGAAATAAAGAACTGACTCTACACACTAAAAGG